GGACTCGAACCGCTGAAGCGTCGACGATTTCTGGCCGGCAACTTTCAGCGTCATTAAGCCGCTGTGCCACCGCGTCCCCCTATACCAACAATACTGACTACCAAATTTTGCTTGAGTTTTTTTTAATAGGAATATAACAGTATTTTTAAAACCATTATTACTTTTCTTTATGCTTCTGCTACCTACACAAATATTCAGATGCACAGCTGCAGGGAAGATAAGCTGGGTCAAGGCAGGCCCAATAGATTTTGTCAAGTGAGATGAAAGTCAAGATACTTTCCAGCATCATCCCACATACAGAAAAAAACTGGTCTAACCAGCAGAATCTTAATTCAATACTGGCAATTGGACAGCATCCTCCATAGTGTCAGAAGGCAACAAGTTAGCTTGGGGGCACAGGGCAGGCTGTGTAGCATGAACAGCTCTGTCTTCACACACCTGACTGCCATTCACAGCCCAGCATCTATTGCCTGAAGTGGCCACATGACTCTGTGTAATGGCAGAGCCAGCCCAGCAGGGCTTGCCTGAGTCCCTGAGATCTTCTGACCTTAGCTCTGGAGGTACTGATGTTCTCCATGTTTTCGATACTACTGACGCAGTTATTTGGGACTTTGTTGCATGCCAGGCGGATGTAATCCCAGAAGCCACGTTGTCCATCAGAGCTAAACCAACTGACAGGACCTAGGAGGAAGCAGGGAGGGGAGGATGGGAAAGATTTTGTAGTGTAGTGCAGACAATACTGATCAATAATGAATGGCTGTCTACTAGCTGCTACTTGCTAAGCAGCCTAATCCTAAGACTATATTAGAAGCATGTTAACATTTTTATGTACAGACATTTCTTCAACGTCTTTAGGGAATTCAAACTTCCTATATCTAGTCTGGTCAATGATCAACATAAAGTACTTTGACTAATTTCTCCTCTATCAAAGATCACCAGAAGACAGGTCTGTCTCTAATGGTAGATCTCAGGATGTACTGTAATAGAGCTATCCACAACAACAGGAGCCACAAAACAACTCCATGGCTTGCTAAAGTATAGTGCTGATATGAAAAATATTTGAGATGAATGGGAGTGGAATTTTGTATGAATGGTTGAAGTCAGATATCTTTAATTCAAATATATATCAGGCTTTATTTAGAAGGTGGATTTTGAAATTGCACCAAAAAAACAAGGTCAGTCCCACTTCCGTTATTATACATGATGGGGTAGTTATTGCCTGCCACCCTTTGGGAAGACTCATGGAAAAGAAAGAGGGGAAGTCAGGTGATAACTATCACAGAAGCCTACTCAAATGTATTCTTTCTTCCTCTCTTATAGGGCCTGTACCACCAACTGCCTTGTAGAAAGGAGCATAGAATCATTTTAGTTGTTTAAAAAACAAATAAATAAAAATATTTATTGTGTTTACTTGCTTATAAGCCACTTTACTTATATCCTGTCTTTATTTTGTACAACTCAGGGTAGAGTACATAACACTCTCCTCCAGAATGACTGGCCCAAAATTACACAGGCACCTTTCGTGCCTAACAGAGGACTAGAACTTAGCCTCTCAGTTTCTAGTCCAGCATCTTATCCAAACTGACTCTCTTGGGAGGATTGTAATCTGAAAGGTGGGATACAAATAACAGTAATTAATAATAATCCAGAAATATAAATACTCTTGCTTAAAGGATCACCCCAGAAGGTGGCATGTTTGCTTAGGCTCTGAAATACTTGCTGGGGTCCTAAGATAACCACTGGTGTGAACTTCCGGGTTGCATCTAATGGTGATCAACGTGTGACACAGAACTATGGATGAAATTAGCCTTTGGTTTGATCCAGAAGGGCTTCATTTATATTCTTAGACCTTCAACTCATCCATCAGATTCAGTGGTTGGCTTTTGACAAGCCACTGTCTCTTAACCTCATTTCTTCAGTCTTTAAGAAGGCAATAATTCTGACCTATAGTACAAGTTGTATTGACAAAAGTGACCCGGAAGCAAGCAGAGTTAGCTGTTTACCAATCAGTAGGGTAAAATACTATAGATTGCACTGATACTTAATCCCTAGTTCATACAGTATGCTGAGTAATAATGTGGGCTTTTTGGTATGATATGTGGACGAATCACTGGTTTATCAAGCCATTGGTTTATCAAGATACTTAAGCTCTGCCTTAGACATTTTAGATTAAATATATTGACATCAGTGGGACTTATATTACAAATTCCATTCTATGGTTCTATTCTATAGAGTTTTTAGGATCCAACCCTATGTAGCACTCAGAAAGGGGATCCTCTCCATTTGCTCCACATTATGCAGGCATCAGTCATGCGTAGGCTAAGCATTCATGCATAAGCAAGACCATTTTCACTTAACTCCATGTACATAACTTGCAGTGATGCAGATTAGCACCACCACCATTATCCTCTTCATCCTCAAGAGAAGCTCATCTGACCTACCATGATCCCCTTTGAAACGGTGGCTGAGTATGTGCTCTAAAATAGCAGCAAAGTTCACAAACTCCTCTGATGAGTCATCAATGGGTTCTATCGTATATTTTTCCAATAAAGTCTTCACGGAGAATCTACAATGGAATGAAAAAAGGAAACTTAAACAGGATTGAATGCAAAAAAGAAGCCAAATCACCAGATACAGCTTTTCTCATTCTTTGCAAAATATGAGCACAAGACAGAATTCTTCATTTTCCACAATGGAATGAGCCTTTGCCCATAATGTAGCAGCAGAATGCTTGGGCTCAGCCTTAGTAAAGTAGCCTCTAAGCCTGCACACAAACACTCTTTATAGCCTGTTCTTCCCAGGCTCCTTGCTTGGCACATATGGCTTTTAGAGACATTTCTGCCCTTCCCCCCAAACCTGGCTCTTTCTTAATTCAGCATTGAGAAAGCCAGTAACAACATCCTTTGTATTCATCTTCTTAGCACTATTACTGGGTGCTTAAATGCTCTGCTTTCAGAGAGGTATTTCACATTGGTTAGTTCTCTGAGGACCTGTGCCATAAAATCTCTTGCATGTTTCAGAGGATCGTGGGGTATGGAAAGTTAACACAGAATTCTATCAAAGCCCATTGGTGCCTTCCCATTGTCCTGGACAATCCTAGGGTCCATCAGAGAGAGCAATATGAAACTTTGCCTTATGGTTAAGTACTGCAAAGGAATGCCAATTATGTCTTCCACAATCAGACTTCTGTGCTGAAATACCAGTTGTGCATTCAGAAAGTATCTGGCTTAATCATTGGTCATAAAAAATCCTATGATTTAGGAAATGGAGAGCTGAAGACTTCTGTCTAGGATCCTGGGGTAGAAGTGCTGTTCAGATTAGTGAAAGATAACTTGGTCCAAATCATCATCATCATCATCATCATCATCATCATCATCATCGCCATCGCCATCACCATTACCATCACCATCACCATCA